AGCAATTTTATTGTCTCCTTAAGGCTGATACAAGCCACTGGAAGCAGAAGTCTTGTCTTTGGTCATGCTTTGTGCAAATAAATGTATAAAAGATCATCTCCTAAATATGTATGAGTAACATAGTGCCGCGCTTGTTAGGATGATGAACATAAAGATGTCAAAGAACAGCTAAGTCTAAGGGAGAAAAATAACCTTATTACAAGAGTGTTAGTGCCAAAAATACAACTTGAGTCTTTGGGTTTTTAAAGAAACAGGAGTTTCTAAGATTCCACTGAACACTTGTGCAAAAAAAAGGTATTTGGTAAATCTGGCAAGTGCCTGTATCTAATCCAAACTCATTACTGCTTCCCTGCCAACCTCTTGGTTCACAGAGCCTTAGGTGACATATCTTTGCCATGCTGAGGACCTTCCCACCTCCCAGCATGCCTTCCACTGCCAGTGTCATAACTTGGAAAGAAGCTGTTGTAGCAGTGTTTTGTTTCCAGGGCCTGTGTGACAGGATTCTTTCCCTTGTTTTATGTTGCTGCTCATTTGCTGCTATTCTTGTGGCCTTTCACCTGCAAACCCTAATGCTGTTTTTATGGCAGATTCTCCTGGGAAGCAGTTACCACTCCTGTGCCTTTTCTTACTCATTATTTTATGAGACTTTTTTTTGTATTTAGACTAGAGGTGAACCAAAGCTTAGTGCAGAACACAGAATAATATGTGTTTGAATATCTGTTCAGTATTACCTGTGCACAAAAGCTGAGTAACCAGCTCATCATGCAACACTTGCGTCAATGTGCACATTAGGGATGCTTCAGTCACTAAAATCTTTATAAATGGCAACTACCAATGGGGAGTTTTAGAGGATGCTGATGAAAATTGTGCAGTGCTGAGGAAATCATGGCTGTGTTCATCGTCACCACTCTTGGCTCTGGAGAGAGTAGCCTGAGGAAGATGTTGTCCAGGGAGTTCATCACCACTCTTCCCTGCTCAACACTGGGGAGAGTTTTCCTTTCTCTTCCCCTTTTTTTTCTTTTTTTCCTTCCCCCATCCCTCTCTCTTTCTCACCTCTATGTGTACACTAAGGTAACTTTGAAGTCTTTAAACTCTGAGTGTACGCCATGAAGTATAGACCCTGCTATGCACCTATGACATCATCTTTTGTACAAACTTTCTTTCCATGTATATGTGAGAACAAAGGTGTACATGGCGACTTTTAAGAAACAAAGAACTGTTATTTATCCAACAGTAAATCTGGAGGCTCAGGCTAAGTTCAAGGTCCTATTGTCTTGGGCAGGTCTGAGCACATAATGGGTGTGTGTACGTGATGCAGTGCAGTACTAGGCAGAGATATCTGAGAAGTATTTTAACTACATGCTTGCTCAGGTTTTTAAGTTTTATAGCCTTTTCATCCTGTTGCACAGAAACCTGTACATAAAGAAGTTATGGTGTTACCTTACAAGTATTAGGATAATTAATCTGTTAGATGTTAGGACAGATAATCTGTTGGATGTTTGATAAATTACTATTCAGCTAAAATGTATGTATTTTTTTTCTTGGTATAATTACAAGTACGCTATGCAGGACTGCTAGATACCCTACAATTAAATTCCTCTCAGTTTGATACCTCCCTTTTAGGGGCTTCTTATCCAGATTCCAGATTTCTATGCCTTCAGAATACATTTTTAACTAAATATAGAACAGGGTCATGATCAGACTTGGCTAGCCTTTAACAACATTTTCAAAAAGATTTTTCAAAAGGCTGGAATGGTCAGATGTAGCTTGATAATTCTGCTTTTTCTCTGAGATGAATAAAGCACGCTCTTAAAAAATATGACACAATCTAATCTTTTGATGTCCCTTAACTCCAAAGAAAATGAAATTGTTCCAGAGGGAGGTCCAAAGAAACTCCAGAAAGAATTTGGAAAGCTTTGAAAATGATAACCAGCTGGTTGTGAAGCAGCAGGCTGCTACTACATGAAAGTGCTGCAAAGCTAATAATAGCCTGGAAATAATGGCTAGCTAGCTTATGCTTTCAGAATATCTGGCTGAGTATATCCCCTTCATCTGATACCTAAATATTTCAGCTCAGAGACCACCTGTGTAAATCATCAAGAATGTGAGGTATAGAGGCAAACCATGTAACATGTGTTTTTCACACTAAATTATCCTAGCTACCATATCTTTAGTTGAATAGCTTTTGACATACAATATGTGACTATATTATTCTTGTTTAAAAAGAACACTATGTCTCTTTTCTCTAAAAGGTGGAACGGTGTATAGCTTATAAAATGACATTTTGACTGAGTATGTTTAGAAAATTTTATGCCTTAGAATATCTGCTCTGGCGGTACTTTGGCTCAGACAGGACACGTACCTATATAAGATCTCAAAGCTTTACATCAATGCTGAATCATTCAATCTTTGATCCATTACCCATGTGAAGTACATTACTGCTAAATGTTTTAGAGGCTGACTCTTCAAGCCCCAGAGAGCCTTGAGGTTATGTGTGCACTATGTAACATTAACGCCATGGAGACAGAGATATCTGTCCTGAATTAGGTCAGAAGCCTGTATGGTACAGACATTATTAGATCCTACTTAGCCAATAAGGAATATTGATAAATATTTTTGAAAGCTGGAACTGCTTCCTTTTTTAGTTGGTGCTACTTATATGAAACATACATGGCTTCTTTGCACAGTGCTCAGCTGTGTCACATACCCTAACCTACCTGTGAATATTCATGCTTGTTACTTTGCCCCAGTGGCAACTCAATAAATACAAAGGAAAACCCAGAGTAATAAATACAAGTGGGGTTGGCTTTACTGTGCTTTTTTTTTATAATGAATTGTGTCACAATGTCTCTGGTTGCATGCGAGTACCTGCCCTGTCGCTCTGTTGAAGGGGTGTGTTTGTCAGGTAACACAGGTAGTGGAAGGCTAACCTGGAGAGCTCAGGACATGTTTTTCCTTGTAGACCAGCCAGTCGGCGGTATGCAGGTATTCTTTTGGACTGGATACATCACTCCTAGTATGTATTTTGGGCTGTCCTCTAAAGAGGATGCCTCAAGCATCACCAATATAGTGATATTGGGTGATGAGTCAGAAACGAGCCACTCTTACCAGATCCCAAACGGGGCTCCATCCCACTGCTGTCTTCAGAAAACAGGGGGAATGAGAGAACAAAAGGGGATACAAAGAAGATGTTTTACCTATCTTAGCAAAACATAACTAAGAGACAGTCTGCTCCTTCTGCAATGCCAACAACAACCAGTTAGTGTTTTAAACAGCCTCACTGGATAATTATTTTTCTAACCCATCAGTTCCAGGCTGTGCGTGCTACAGTGCCAGCTATAAATGAGCAGTAGCATATTGAGCTTGCTGGATGCCTTCTAATAGTTAAAGCGTATGACATCTCCACAGTAGGATTACATCTGTAATCTCTCAAAGAGTTAAATCAGGCCTATTTTCTACGAATTAATTGTATTCCTATAATTTAATTATTTATCACTGAAATCCTTTGCCTTTTTCCACTATTTCACCTGGATCATATCAGGTTAACAGGCCCATTAACTACAAGTCCTTTTGAAATACTCCTAAGTTATTCACAGGTTTCATGCTTCTGTAATTTCCTCAGCATTACAAAATTAATTTCAAAAGGTGGTTAGTGTATGTGAAGTGCCTCAGCCAAACGTATTCTCTTTATGGACTTTCAGGTGTGAATGATCCCAATTTGGTCATTTGAAAAAAAATTATCCCAGGCAGGTGGGTTCCATCTGTGTCACTGAGGGGGTGGTGGGTACTTTGTGTGTCCCTGAGGGGCTGTGAGAGTCACTGAGAGGGAATCAGGTGTCCCGAGTATCATTGAAGGAGAGTGTTCTCTGTCCCTGAGGGGAAGGCAGGTTTCCCACATGTTGCTGAGGGGGGAGGCAGGTGCCCGGTGTGTCCCTGAGGATCTCTGAGGACGAAGAGGGTGCCCCGAGGGGTGAGTGTCTCCTGTGTCCCTTTAGGGGCTGTGAGGGACACAGGGCGAAAAGGGTGCTCTGGACGGTCACCGAGGGGCCCTGAGGGTGCCCTGAGACGAGACGGGGTGGGGCAGAGCAGGGTGGGTTGGTCGCTGCAGCTGCGCTGCTTTTCCCGCTCCCCCCCCCCCCCAAGCCTCAGTGTCCCGCCGATCCCCCGGTCTGTTAGGCGGAAGCAAGCGAAAGGCGCTTTAGAGAAGCTCGATGAAAGGTTGTGGAGTCGTCGTAGGGCAGATTTTGAGCTGTTACAGAGGTAATACAGAGTGTTGAGCAACGGTGTCAGAGGGGCAGCAGGGTGTTTCAGTGGAGTTACTGAACGAAAAGCTTCTTGAACTCTGTCATTCTTGGTGAGGTAACACAGAGGAAACTGAGAGTTTCACAGACATAAAGCTGAGGGAACTTCGAAAGCACATCCAGGGGATGTTTTGAGGGAAGATCTCAGGTAAAGTGTGAGGGACAGACTGAAAATCTTAGAGGGAAAAGCTGAGTAGGGGACATTTTGGGGGTGAAATACGTGATGTCCTGAGTGTCACTGAGGGTTTTGAGGGTCACAAGAGGAGGAGGCCGGTGCCCCCCCTATCACTGAGGGAAAGGAGGAGGTCCTGTGTGTCACTGAGGGGGAGGCAGGTGCCCTATGTGTCGCTGAGGATCCATGAGGGCGAAGAGGGTGCCCCGAGGGGTGAGTGTCTCCTGTGTCCCTTTAGGGGCTGTGAGGGTGCTCACAGGGCGAAAAGGGTGCTCTGGAGGGTCACCGAGGGGCCCTGAGGGTGCCCTGAGGGAGATGAGACGGGGTGGGGCAGAGCAGGGTGGGTTGGTCGCTGCAGCTGCGCTGCTTTTCCCGGCTCCGCCCCCCCCCCCCCCCCCCCAGCCTCGGTGTCCCGCTCCTCCCCCGGTCTGTGGGACGGGAGCAGGTGAAAGGCGCTTTAGAGAAGCTCGATGAAAGGTTGTGGAGTTGCCCTAGGGCAGATTTTGGGCTGTTACAGAGGTAGGGATTGTTGAGCAGCAGGGGCAGCAGGGTGTTTCAGTGGAGTTACTGAGGAAAAAGCTTCTTGAACTCCGTCACCCTTGGTGAGGTAACACAGAGGGGACTGAGAGTTTCACAGAGGTAAAGCTGAGGGAACTTTGAAAGCACATCCAGGGGATGTTTTGAGGGAAGATCTCAGGTAAAGTGTGAGTGAGGTGAAGTGTCAGTGAGGTAGTGAATAAGGCATGAATGCCGCCGGTGACACAATCAAGTGCCAGGGCAGAATTAAGGTTTATTACAAAACAATTTGGTTTAAATACAGCGCTTAAACATGCCACATGATCTTCCAACCAATGACAATCAAGTATTGTGTGAGAACCCGGAAAACTACAACTCCCATAGTTCCTTGCCACATCCCCTCCTTCTCTAAATAATTAACAAGTTGTAAAACAATACATTTTTTAAACATTCTTAATGTAACTAATCTTATGTTAATTGTTTATAAAAACCAGGGCCTTTGGTCACAAGGCCTTTATTGAACTGTTTACAACTTTATTGCTTCGTGCAATATTCAAGCAACCTTGAATTACCCAGGGTTTGTAGATGTGTGGAACCTTTTATCTGAGGGTAATTTTGTGTGATTGGGTAAAGGCATCATCTTTATTTGGAAGGGAAATGTGTTGGGTTGTAGATGTTGTGTTTGAAGTAGTGTTGTTTGAGGTAGTGTTGTTCAATGAGTGTTTAAGATGTCTTGCTATAAAGTGTATTTGCATTCACACACACATACATATCTCCACTCAACTTTCTCATTCACATTCCAGGGGCCACCGTTTCATTCTCTCCTCACACTTGCATTCTTAAACCCTTTATTGTGTTTGAATCATGGAGTTTTGGTTTTGTATTGGTTACTGTTTGTGTGTTTCTTTTGGTTCTGTTGTATCATTTATTGCTTCTTTGTGATTGTTCCTGTTTTGAAGAAGTGTTAACGTAGATGTACACATATAGGGACCAGACCCATATCTCTTCCCCCCCCTTTTTGTGTTTTTGTAGCATGTTTCTCAATGTGTGGTGTGTTCCTTTTACTGTTGTTGGTTATGTTTCTTCAAATCCGGTTTCTTCACTCATTTTTTCTGGTGATTGTTTCTGTTGTGGGGGAGGGCAAATATAAGGCCTGACACATTTAGAAGGGATCCTTTGTAATTTGGTACCCTTGGATACACAGGCATATATCCTCCCTCAAGTTATGAGATCTACTGGTCCTGACCATTGCCTAGATATTAGATTTTTAATCATAACTGGTGCTTTGGAAGATGAAAGTATTTGAGTTTTATGTTGGTATTTATACCTGCTATGGTTTGTATCATCACAGTTTAAGAAATTTAGAACATATGATGCTTTCCATAAGCGTTCCTGGGGGCTATATACCAACTCCCCTCTTTTTTGCCCTTGAAGCATTTCTTTTAGTGTGCAATATGCTCTTTTTAAAATTGTTTGTTCTGTGGGTGAGCGCAGCATGTTTGTGGAATGGAATATCTTCTGATTTGTGAGATATGTTTTAGCTTTCGTTGAATAACATACAGGATCACTGTTTGTGTTTATTGTTTTTGGAATTTTTGAAATTGCAAACCAATTAAATTAGTATTTGGTAGTATCTTTTGCCTTTTTCTAGCCTGTTGTTGTATTATTCTGTTTGGAATGTGTGTGAATGGATGTGTCTTAGGTAAGAGTTAGATTTTGTGTGATTAACAAGGAATTATGTGGTATGTATTTTTCTAGGTAAATGAGGGTTAGTGAAATCTTGAAGGAAGGAGGCTTTGAGATGTGAAAGTAGCATAGCATGAATCAATTATAACATTCATAGGTTAATTACAAAACAATTTAAATGTCTTGCATATATGACTAAGTTGTAAAACTTTATATATAGAGTCCCGGTCCACGGTTTGTACCTTGTTCCATTGTCTTCTTTTGTTTGTCCAGATGTAGATGGTCTTAGTGTCCCATTTACTTATATTTCGTAGTCATTCTTTACTTTTAAAAACAATCTTAGCAAACATGTTAATAACAGTTCAGTCTATTTCAGATGAAAAGTGGGCAGGAATAGATGTGAGGATCAGGTGAATCTGTAGTTTTTGAAGCAATAGCAGTGAGTCACTCTATGTTATAGTGTCTTTTGCTTTTTGGCTGAAGGCTTTAAGGATCATCTTTCATTGTGTAGTTTTCTTTGTATTGGAGATTCCATTGTTGGTCCTGTTAAATTTTTTTTGGAACGTTTTACAGTCCCCATTTCTTGATAATATCAGTTAGAGCAACTTTAACCAGGTTTAATTCAGTCTCTCAGGTAGTTGTGATTTACAAGCAGCTATTTTGCACTCTTGTTGACATTATGTATGTTGTTCTGTGATAGCAAAATGTTTTGAGAATGTTTGAATGTAACAAATACGGGGATGTTTAAGGTTCTATACTTATTATTTGAATAACATTGTTAGGATAATTGCATGTATGTGGATGTATTTGAGAATTTAATAACTTCTAATAACTTTTATTTTTAATAATTCAAATAAAGGTACTGGGAAATTAATGAAAAAATAGGGAAAAAATTTTTAAAGCTCCAGTGTTCTGGTTTTGTGGAGGTAAACTTAAATGTTTTTGGTTAAAATGACACCAATTTACATAGTGAAAGGCAATAGCAAAAGCTTTTAGGCAACAAAGAGAATTTTTCTCTCTCTTTACACTATAAACAGAAGGTTTCAAATCTTCTTTTTCATCTTGAGTCCAGCAATTGATTGGTAATCAGCATGCAATCTATGCTGAAACAATCTGTGGGTAAATTTACTTAATTCAAATTTAGCTCCCTAGTAAATTGCTTATATTGCTCCACTTTTTATAATATGTGTAGTAATTTTGTTTGCTGATTGATAAAAGGTTTATCTTGCATTCTTTAGCATAGCTAGAAGAATATGAAACTGCTAAACCTAATGAAAGTTTTGTATCAGCCAGTTTTATATTTAAAAAATATGAATTAATGAATATATTGGGCTTTAAAATGGTGAGATGCTAAATTTTATTCCATGTGTAAATGTTTTTAAACTATTTTCTATTCTTAAGAAAACAATTTACAGTACTTTTAAGAAAAGTGATTTGAAAACAAAAAAAGAAAAAAACACAAATGTTAGAAGTAAAATTTATATTTTCTTGAAAATGTAAAATGCAGTGGTATGAGTGAATAGTTAATAAAGTTTCAGTTCGCTATGTTTTGCTTTCTTTTTCCCTTATTATGTAAGAAAGGAGATTTTGAGTAAGAGATAAGAGGGGTTTGCTTGTTGTTTTCCTCACCAAAAGTCACTTGTTTGTTTAGCCAAAGAGTTAGTAGGAAAGTTTTTATAGGAACAGGAATAGTGGTAGAAGATGACAAAATCTAATTCCACCCAGTTGTTAAGCAGTAAACCATTGTTATTATGTTTGAGGGGCAACACATTGTTTCTTTTTTTGCAAAGGCAATTATCCAAGAAGTGTTTTTTATCCTTTTCTTTAACTAAAAAGTAATTTGTAAAATCTTGGTTTTCAAAAATTCTAATCTTTTCCCACTCTGAGACAGGGGTAAAAAGTATGAAAATCCATCTTTCTCTAGGTTTGAGAGATTGATAGATTAGTGAAAGGGGTTTTGTACATAGCAAGGCTGTGTTTATATGGTTTTCTAGTGTTGTGTGTAAATGCATCACCTCTGTTTTAAGGAAAGGCCACTGTATCATGGATTTAGGGCTATTTGTTTCTTGGGCCACTTGTGGGTTTAGCTGCAATGAAACTGCCTTTGGGAAATATCCGCTGTTAATTGACTTCCTCTTTGACTGAGGCAGCCTCTGTTCTATAGAATGAGTGATTTCAGTGGGTCCAATGAAAACAGGGTTAATGTCTGGGCTATTGCTGGTTATGGTGTCTCTGTTTTGTTTTGGGGATGCTAGTTTAAGAAAACTTCTTAAACAGGTTTGGATGCTTTTTAAGAGCCATTGTGAGGTTACATCTGTTCTGTTGTTAAAAATGTTTGATATTCCTGTCTTTGCCTCCCATTCTAATTGTTTAATTTGGGTATAGGCCAATTTATGCATGTTTGTGTTTTGAATGGATTTGGAGGTGTGTATTGCTGTATGTTGCAGCCTTGTGGGGCATCTTTGGGCTTGTGTTTTATGAGGCATTTGTTTGTTTTGCTTTATCAAGGCTTTTGCAGTGACTGTGTGTAAAGGGTTATGTGTTTCTGCAGCTGAAATTGTAATTGGTTGTTTCTTTGCTACTTGTTTAGGTTTGGCTTTCCATGTTGTGCATGGTATACTGTCTAACAACATTTTAAAATAGTGAGAAGTAAATACTCGATTTAGGGTCCCTCCTAGTATTTCTATTCTTCCCCCCTGTAACACAAAAGAACCTTTTATAATAGTAGATAATTTGTCAATTAGTAAAGTTGTCCTTTTGTGACTTAGTAAGTTAAATATGGTAGCTGATAGTTGTATGTCTGCTGTGTTTTGCAATGTTACCTTTAGATTGTTGGTTGTGTCAGTAGGTGGACTGTGTTGTTCCAGCTGAAATTCTTGCAGCATAAAACCAACAGCTGCTATTGTTAGCAACATAGCCAATATATATATTGTCCATTTTAAACATTGGTAGCTTTGACTTCACTGATGGTCTCAGCTTGGGCAGGAATATGTTTTGTGTGCTTTCCCAGTCTGTATTCTCTTCTTCGAGCTGAAGTAGTAGCTGTAGTCATGTTTGCTGTTCTTCCTCTTCTGCAGGATCCAAAACTGCTTGTCTACTTTCTGGTTCTCTCATCTCGCTGAGTTCGGTTTGCCACAGCTGGGCTAAGATTTCTAGGGTGTCAAATTCTAATCTTCCTCCTCCATGAGGCCGTCTTGGGCATAGAAGCTGTTCTGAGGCTGGTGAGGGCTGTGGGTTGGTTTCTTGGTAGGAGTGCCATGGTGGTGTTTTAACTGTTGTGCATTTGTTGTCTGTTGGTTGAACTGGTGGTGATGGAAGAGGCACTTTAACTTCTACCTCATGACAGGAGTAAGCTGGCTGTGTCCATTGTTCTGCAGAAGTCTCACGGCCGCTATGCGGCCAAAGAGAGTTACTGGACACCCCTGACCACGCAACAGCAGTCCATCCATTGCTCCCTCATCGCAGCCCCTGCAGCTGACGCTGCTGCTGGTGCCCTAACCCAAGTGAAGTTCGTAGGGATTTGTGGAGGTGGGGGAGCCTGTAGGTGGGTGGGTGGGTGGGTAGTGGCATGGAGATCTCCCTCTGGGGGTGTAGGGATGTTTTCCTTCTTGGGGAGGAGCTGGTGTTTCTCAGGCTCAACTGTGTCGTCCTGCCTTGGCAGAAGCTGTCGGACAAGACAGAAGAGACTGGAGTGGAACTTCGAGGCAAGAGCCAAGAAGAAAAGTAGCAGCGTCGAGCTCAAGAGGGGGCACAACAGAGACCCTCTGGGCAAAGGCCCCTCCCTGTCATCCCCGGGGCAGGGATCCCTAAGAGTCCGGCGGGCAGCTTCTGGCTGCACTGGCTGGCTTGGCCAGCACCTTTGGTGCCTGCTGGCGGCCCCCTGCCATAGTGGCCCCCTGTAGGTGGGGTGTGTCATAGCCTGTGTCCCTTGCCCCTCGGCACGCTGAGGTCCTTCTGGCCCGTGCCCAGCCCGGGGGCAAGTCTGAGGCTCGCCGCTCCTGCTCGGCGGGAGGGATGGCTCCGCACTTGTTGGCGCAAAGAGTTTGCTCCCTTTTCTGGGACATTTCCCATTTATGTCGCTGTCCCGTCGGTGTGAGTGAGCGAGCGAGCGAGCTGGTCCCTTCTGAAGCCCCCGTAGAGATGTAGGCAGCTTAGGTTAAACTTCCCAGGAGCGAAAGAGGGGCTCTGTGTAGCAACCCGAGGTCGCTCTCTTAGCTGGTGGGCGGAGAGACGCGGCCCAGCCTTGCCCCTTCTTCCTGAGGACGGAGCGAAGCCCTTTAGTGGAATTGCGGGCACCACGACCCGCCTGTAGCCAGGGCCTGGCCGTGTTTCCCCCGCTGCGGGGCTGCCTGTCCTGCTGGTGACGTGCCAGCATGGGCCCCCCCCCGTCCTCGGAGCTGGGGCCCTGTCCCTCTCCCGCCCTTAGGCCACGAGGCCGTTGTTGGGTGTCCCGGGCCTTGGGGGGTGGTGGCCCCGTCAGTGGGGCTTTGTACGTCCCCCCTGCCCGGCGGGCGGTTGGAGGGACTCCCTGTAATCAGGTGGGTGTCCCGCAAGGTCCCCCGGCACGTCCCGCACTCCAGCGCCACTCACGCTGCGCATTCGTACAAAAGGAACAAACACAATTTCCGCTCAAACCAAGGCCGTGCCGACGTCAGTTACCGGGAGCCTCCGGAGCGCCCGAAGGGGCGGGTGCGGCAGCAGCCCCTAAAGGTGGCGTGGAGCGCTGGGAGAGGCCGCGGGGGGCGGGGGCACGTCCCGCGGCTGCGACCTGGCGGGGAAGGGACCGCCGGGCCGCCCCGTCCGGCACCGCCGCTGACACTGCTCCGCCACCGCCCCTCGCCCACAATATTAACATTATAAATCCAGGATTTAATCCAGAGCACCACAAGCTCCCAAGTGCGGGAGATTTCCATAGTTTTTTTATTTTCTCTTTTTAACTCAGAACGTGTTCATGCCTTGTGCGAGCACCCCAATTCTGTCCCATCCACCTGAGCTGGGCAGGTGAGGCCAAGGCTCCCATTCTTTCTGGGGAATCATTGTCCAAGCACATCGATGCTCTTTCTGGGCAGCACCTGGAAACAACTTGGAAAGGGCAAAAAGAAAATGGTGTCTCCTGTTTGAAAAGGAGTGTCTATAAACATAAATTTTGGACCAGTAATGCAGCCATTGAAGGAGGGGAAAAGCAACCGAGCAGTACTTTTATTACACACAATAATCAAAACCAATAAATGCTAAAATGGACTTTATTGAGCTGCAACACCAGGATGGTCACAGGAGGCAAAGGTGAGCGGAGCACCAAAGCAGCACCTGGGGGTCTTGTTGGAGGAACACAATCTTACCAAGTTATGAGCCAGGGCATGGCATTTGGGACAACACCTGCTGACTGGAAAGGATTCAGGCCCCAGGGCTCAGTCTGCAGCTGGCAGTCGATGCATTACCAACCATCTCAGCCATTCTGTCCAAAACGCCAGCTCTCTCCTCTCTACATTGCCTCCCACCTTCCTACATAAAACAGTGGCTATGTCCCCTCTAAATTACCCCAGGTTTTCAGCTAAAAGGGTATACAAAGGGTATATCAGTTACAGTTTGCAACCAGGCAACTAATATAGGTTTTGTTATGCAAGTGCTTTTAATGACAGACAATGTGCTTTTAAACAGAGAAGTCTTGGCTTCAGCATCTCAGCTCTTTCAGTATATAAACAAGGCCACAAGTGCTGCTAGGCGAAATGCTTGGAAACTAAGCAGGTTTTTTTAAAAATTTAAATTGTAAGGAGAAAAAATGTACTGATGTGTCTACTCAACAATGAGAAAACGTGAGCAGATTAGCACACATTGTAGAATGCTTTGAAATAAACAACTGAATAATAAGTGGCTAAGGAATAAAGAGACAAAGAAGAAGAAAAAAAAGAGAATGAGCAACTGAATAATAAATAGAAAATAGAAGAGATCTAAAGGGGGGAAAAGCGAACATAAGCAAAGATAAATGAGCTTGTGAAGTAGAGAATGCAGAAAGAAGAGTGAAAACTGATTTCTCACAGAATTAGAGTCCACCAGACTTAAAAAAGAGTTCTGCCATAATTTCAAACTAAGGTACACAGAATTTGACATCTAAGCCTAAATGTCAACACTAAAATCAGTGGTTTTATTTCAAGGGGATTGGCCTCTTCTCCTAGGAAACTAGTGACAGGACAAGAGGAAATGACCTCAAGCTGTGCCAGGGGAGGTTCAGGTTGGACATCAGGAAGAATTTGTTCACTGAAAGGTTGGTTAATCATTGGAACGGGCTGCCCAGGGAGGTGGCAAAGTCACCATCCCTAGAAGCATTCAAGAAATAGTGCCATGATTAGTTGACAGGGTGACATTTGGTCAAAGGTTGGATTTGATTATTGTGGAGGTCTTTTCTAACCTTAATGATGATTCTATGATTTTGGTAAACAAACAGATCTGTAGGTTGGAAAGGAAATGAAAGTTTATAATGCAATAACCAGTCAAGTTAAACTTGATGGTTTGGAAGAGGAACACAAAGATTGCTTAGTTAAATTTAAAAGGCCTCCTAATTTCAAATGCTTTATCCTTTCTTTTGAAAGGTAAAATAATCAGACCTCATTATACAATATGATATCTGTAAATATAAGGTAGATTTTTTAGAGATATCGAATAGCTCTGACATCCATCACTATTGAATTAGAAGAGCTAAAAATAATCAGTTTAAGGATCAGTAATATTGATTTCAGAATAGCAAAAGAAAGGGCTCTCACATATACATATTGTATAAGGTTGTCACTCTTATTAGGGGAATTAAAACACAGAGGGAAATATGTTTAATCACTGTGCAAATGCTTGAGCAGGAGGAAGAGAGAATTGTTTTAAGGAATTTTTATTTCTTCAGGCATAAATATGAGACAAAATATTAATAGAGGTTTCACTAAATTGAACTTACGTTTGTCACATGTGTATTTTCTATGTTTAAAATATGCCAGCAGAAATATAAGATGGATATGGCAGAAAGCCAGACAGGAATGAAGCAGCAAAAAGTTCTAGAAAGAAGCATTAGGATTAAGCAGCTTTAATTATAGCACTATTTGCTTTTTTCCACTAGGATTCTTAATCAAAACAAAACACTTTTTCCCTTGATCCTTCATTGTTATTGCATGCACACATACATGTGCAATAGTTAATTAGTGCAAAAGTAGCACGGAGCTCGTTTCCTCCCAGTCTAATCTCGGATTGTGATTAGTGAAGAATATAAAATAATGTGCCTGCAAAAGTAGGAAATATCTTTATATGTTTTAATTCCAATGGAAAGCAAAATCAAAGTTGTATGTGTGTGCTTTATAGCGTTTCTTCAATGTTTCCTCTTTCTTTGAGAAGCAGTCTCTCTGTAGCAAAGTTTTCTACTGGCTTGGAAGGTACTCTGGCAACAAAAGCTTGAAAGAAATACTTCTGGACTTCAGTAAAGCTTTTGATATGCTATCACCTGGGATATCATGCACATGGAATAAAATGAGGACCAGGAGGAAAAATCTGATGTGACTGAAGAGCTGCTTGGAGAGCAGATGATAAGGTATATGGAGAGGTACTTACTAACTGGAGGAGTTCCTTAAAGATCTGTGTTGCAGTGGTCCAAAGTAATAAAATAGTATGGTGATGAAACTGCCTGGAGAAAAGCAAGCTGGAAAGCATTATTAGGGTATTAGACATAAAAAACCCAAATTATTTTGTTTAGTAAAATTATAGAAGGAAAAGTAAGTTTAATAACACTAGCTGTTAATGCACATTCCAGGTTTAAATATAAGCACTTCAACTGTACAACAAATAGTTGTACAAACTGAAGGTTCTCATTGTTTGATAATGAGTAGATTATCTGAATGCATATTTATGCATCCCAGTTAACTGGGAGTCATGAGTGTGCCAAGGGCATGAATAAACACAGTGGCCTTACTGTGTGTCAAACAGTCTGGTTTGAGCAGATGTGTATAGCACTAAAACTATCTGCGTTCAAAGCACTGTTAAGTTTTTACCTGAAATACTGCATATGATTCTGGAAAACTGATTTCAAACTAGAGTGGAGAGGAGCTGTGGTATCTAACAGTGGTGGCAGGAATACTAGCAGCTAGCATGGAGTGGTCCATGAAGAGATGATGCCCACAGAGCACAGCAGAGCTATGCTGCCTTGCTAGCTCAGTCCTGGAAGCTGTACTGTGTACCCACAGTGGGACGCAGACAGAAATGCAATGCTTTAACTTACTCTTTAAACTGTAGTGGAAAGTCAAGGTGTTTTTAAAGAGCCTGGTAACTAACTGGATTTGTTTCAAAAATTAGCTTCTGATAGATTCTTGTGATGCGGTGTAATGTTCTGCTGTGGAGGTGACTCAAGGGTTTCCCACTTTTCGATTTGCTCTAGAAGGGGTGCTATTGCCCCAAAGCCCAGCCCATTCCTGTCCTGTACTGTGTGGAAAGGTTTTTGCAATGGTGTCTGTACAGAGGGATCATCAAGCTTCTCAGACACCATCTCTGCTCTGCTATGCCTCAGAGACATTCAGCTCAGGTCAATGTTTTACCTAAAGAGGGTTAAATAAAAAGATCTATTTGATTCTGTATTGATATCAATGAATGACTCGGTGTTGCATTAAGCAGTAACTCCTTGGGCAGCACATCTTTGTTTCAGTTGATTTCTGTAATAGTTTTGGCTAGTATTGCTTTCTCTCACCTTTCAGGATTGAATCTGTCATGCCTGTTAACTGTCCCTTGATACAGTTT